AAAAAAAAAAAAAAAAAAAAAAACCTTTATTTTAATATTCTCCCTTTCCTTTAACTGAGAATACCTTGAAGCCTGTTCTGCTACAAAGTGGTCACGGATCCCCGAAGTAAAATTTTAAAAAGTTTTAAATTCTCAGTGAATTTATCACCCTGGAGGAATTCTTAGATGGTCACCAGAAATTGGGTATCAAAATCTTTTAAAACAAGAATATTAGTCAAGATGACATAAAAAGTGTCTTTTTAACCCTGGAATTCTGAATGAAAATTTAGCCTCAGTTTTAAAACAGTACCCCAAATCACTGTATTTCAAAAGTTTCTCTGGTCTTGACATTCCTGAGCATGTATTGTTCTTGTAAAATGGGGTAAAATGTATTTAAAGTGACTGGTAATTAGATCTTTGGATGCAGACTAAATGCATATTTGGACATTAATCTTTGAATAGGAAAAACTAGCCCACAGTCACAATGCATGCTTAGGCCAAGTAACACATTTCATAAAGGTACGGTGACTAGCTCTCTCTTTTTTTTTTTAACATCTTTATTGGAGTATAATTGCTTTACAATGGTGTGCTAGTTTCTGCTTTATAACAAAGTGAATCAGCTATACATATACATGTATCCCCATAGCTCCTCCCTCTTGCATCTCCCTCCCACTGGTGACTAGCTCTTGAATATCTTTTCATTCCCCACTTGCCTTGCAGTGAGTTATGGAGAGAAGGTACTCCATACATACACAGTGAGACAAATTCAAGGAGGAACTGTCCAGGTGAAACTCTAGAATAGGTTCAGCAAAAACTCTTCACCTTGTTGATCGCATAACTATCCCCTACCAGTCAAGCAGCAGTGATTAATCTGCATAATAACATGTCAGCATCAGTGCAGTATTTATCTAGGCAACACCACTGACATTTTAATTAAATTGTCCTTTGAAACAAACAGATGCCATTAACCTAATTAAAAGCTCAAGGAAGGATGAGCTACCATGATGCTTTCTTAGGGACAAAGTATTACATTACATATTAGTAAAGTGACCCAAGCCTTTGGGGATTTTTATCTTCAGGTTCAAATCTATTTAATTATTAACAATGAAAATACATTTACATCAATCATCAGGTTTTATCTGTGTTCTGATTCTCCCTTAGTCCTATCCTTGATGCTTTTAAAAATGCTCTCAAGGAGACGAAGAGGGAAGAGATATGGGAACATATGTATATGTATAACTGATTCACTTTGTTATAAAGCAGAAGCTAACACACCATTGTAAAGCAATTATACCCCAATAAAGATGTTAAAAAAAAAATGCTCTCAAATGAGCAAATCAGTCTAATGCTGTGACTAGTGTTTTACTTCCTACATTTAATTTATGCCTCAGAACAAAATATGCCCTACATTGGCCCAAAGTAGCCTGTGGCAGCCATGGTCCAAGGAATAGAAGGCTAAGCTGGCAGGAGATGGTGATGCGGTCCTCACATGACTGAAGGAAGTCAGTGGGAAAAAGTAAAGAGAAGGCAGCAGAGTGATTTTTTTCTTCCACTCTATCATTAATCTCTCAGCCTCTGGACCTTAACTATCTCCTGCTCACTTGCTGTCATGCCTAGTATTGTCAGGATTGCTTTAATAAGATAAGGTCTATAAAATACTTGGAAATTTTTGATGAAAAGGTAACACCATGAGAACATAAATTATTTTTACTCCATACCACTGAGAATGTGAACACACTCTTTTTAGGTATTAGTCATGAAATGATGCTTTGCAAATCAAAGATTAAAGTCTTGGTGAACTAAAATTTTAGAATGGAACCTGCCAAAACTACTGGAGAGGCAAAATTACAGTTTGTTTTAATAGAAAGCTGCTAGTTTCTTCAGCATTTGAGCTTTTGTTGCAAGTGTCAGAGCACTGTTTTTAACAGGAACTAAGTAGACTACATAATAGAACAAACTATGAAAGGTAAAGGCCAAAGGCAGCCCCCCATCCCAGCACCTCCTCCCCTCCAATAAGCAGCTGAGTGCTCTTCCACTGTGTCTGCAATTCACCAAACTAGGTAAACAGACACAAACGAGTCCCTATCAAAGCCTCTCTGTACTTTAGTTTTCATTTTGTCAACAGATATTTCCCATTGCCTCCCACGGAACTGAGTGTAGGGGAGGATTACCACTATATTCAGAAGACATGAGGCTGAGTAGTGATCAGGTATTGAGATCAAGTACCTGCTTAAGAAATTGCTGGTGGAAAGCGAATTCTAAGGTAGATGGTGTTTTTTGGGTTTTGTTTTTTAGGCAAAATCTATGTAGCTACAGAAGGTTCTAGGACATGAGAAAAATAAATTGTAGTTGAATATTTCTAGATAATATAGACTTTCAATACTTATGAAATTCTCTGGGTCAAAGGTATATCTATATTATTTGGTGAATAAGAAGAAAGCAAGCTAAGGCTAATAGTGAAAAGGAGAAGTGTATGTAACTGACATGTAACTTACTACCAGGAACAATTAGGCTGCTTGCTAACAAAGGGACCTGAAGAGACTGTTGGAACAAGTTCACTAAGGTGTAATTTTCTTAGTAAGAGTTGGCTTAAGATAAATAAAAAGCCTCAAGGTAGCAACACTCAAGTTATTTTTGTTAAAACAACCATAAGGATATGATGGAAATTGCTTTTTTACTGGGTCTGAACATTAGTTTTTAGTATTAAAAAATTCAATATTTAGCTTCCCTGGGCCCAATAACACCAGGAGAAAAAAAGGAGGTACTACCTTAAATTATTTACCCGTTCACAGTTGAGATTTAATCATCTGTTTGTAAAATAGACATAATTCACATTAGCAAAGATTTTTTTCTCCCCTGTACTAAATCACAATCCTTTAAATCTAAGCCAAAGCACAGGGCATTTTGTTAGGTGTACAGCATGGGCACTACTCTGATGTAAAGTTATGTGCCTGTACTGGTTCCTCCGTATTTTCACAGAAAGATATGTAGTAAGAATTAACTGAATATGAGAAAGGATAACAACTGATTTTTTAAAAAATAACTGAAAAGTCCTTTAAATCCTTAAAGTAATGAAATGCCAGAAAAGGAGAAACTGTTCGTACCTGTGAGGAAGAAAACTATTTATAGAAAATTCCTGGTAAGAGAATAAATATATCTTACTTTGCAGCTGCTTTGGTGACCTCATCAGTCAACATGTCCCGAACCCTGTGATACAGATGGAAAATAGGTATGAGAGTTTATAGTAGAGCAAGAAACCAATCTTTTTGCTTATTCATCAATTAATAAGAACCTCTGGCAATGACTCCAGGTCTTAAAACTTCCATGTAGAATTTTAGTGTAAGGCGAAAGAACTGTAATAAGGGCTTCATTTCCAAGATAGTTTCATCTTCCTAGTCCTCAGGTTACTTAGTAGAGGCAGGGAAGGAGGTGAATGCAACTAATGTATAGGCAGTGTTTTCATGGTGTCATCTCTTAAACTGAGTGCTGGGTATACAAGTGTCCTTTATATTATTCTCTGTGATGGACTGAATGTTTGTGTCCTGCTGCCCCAAGTTCACACGTTGAAATCTTAACTCTGAATGTATGGTATTTGGAGGTGGGGCCTTTGGGAGGTCATGAGGGTGGGGCCCTCATGAATGCGATTACTGTCCTTAAAAGAAGAGAGAAGAGAGACCAGAGAGCTTGCTTTCTCTCTGCTCTCTGCCATGTGAAGCTACAAGGAGAAGGCAGCCATCTACAAACTTAGGAAGCAGGCCCGCACCAGCACCAGGTCTGCTGTCACCTTGATCAAGGGTTTCCCAGCCTCCATAACTGTAGGAAATAAATTCTGTTGTTTAAGCCATCTGGTCTATGGTATTTTTGTTATAGCAGCCTGAACGGACTAAAACATTCTCTCTTTTCTGCACAAGAGCTCACCAAAACAGCAATTTACTGCATTCAAATTGTAGATAATAGAATTTTCACTATGTATGTATGCAAAATAAAATTTAAAATGTTTGCTATGGTATACGTGAAACTGATATAATGTTATATGTCAATCATAACTCAATAAAAAAACAAATGTTGGTTATAAAATTGAACTAAAAGAAAATACTTACATTTGTGGATTTAAAGGAAGGTATGTTCAATTAAAATATTCAGTTTTTTTCATATAAGAGTCTTGAGATAAAGTGAAAAACAATCATTGACTGCCAAATTTATACTCCAAAGATGATATCATAACATGTTCATTGTACATTTTGAGTTTCATAAATTCAAACTTTTTATAACTATCATAAAAGTTTTGCAAATATAACTGTATTTGCATTTGAAATATAATAAAATCTTAGCTATTCAGCACTCTTTGAGAATGAGTCATTCTTAAGAACCAAGTTTTTCAGATAGTTGCAAACTGCTCCTTAAACTTGTACTTTATAAAACCATTTGACAGTAAATTTCTCTAAAATGTATTGTCCAATCTTGGTCTTCCTAAATGGAGTATAGTGCATTCAGTGTATTCTTTTATTGGTCAACGTGAAATATTGACAGATGATGACTTGCCTGTACTTCTAGGTAGAGCCACACCCTCCGTTAGTTCCCTCCTCTTACCTACTCTCCCTTCTCTCTGCTGCATCACCAATTTTTCCTTCTCCACTTGTATTACTCCCCTTAGCTTGTGAACACACTATAATATCTACCATCTTAAAAGAAGAAGCCCTCTAGCTACTGCCCCATTCCACTGCTTCTCACACATCAGAACTCATTTAGAAGAGTAGCTTATACTTATGACTCCAGTTTATCTCCTTCCACTCTCTAGACCCTTCTATAATTTGGCTTTTGTTCCTACAAAACAGCTCCTTCATGGTCACCAGTGACTTTCAAGAGGCCAAATCTAATGCTCAGCTCTCAGTCTCCATCTTTTGTAGTCTCAGAGCAGCATCTGACACAATCGGTTGCTCCTTTCTTGAAACACTTTCTTCCTTCAGCTTTTAAGGTGGCTTTTACGATTCCATTCTCTCTTGGTTTTCTTCCTACAACACTAATCTTCCATCTGCTTTACTGGCTCCCTCATCATGTCCCGCATTTCTAAATGTTGAAGTGCTCCAGGGCTCAGTTCTCTGACCTTTTCTCTATCTTTACTCATTCCCCAGATGATCTCATCCAGCATTGTGATTTTAAATGCAGTCGATATGATGATGATTCCCAAATTTATATATCCAGCCCTGACCTTACCCCTGACCTCTAGACTCATAGTCAACAACCTATTTGATATCTCCAAAGTGCAGATCTAATTAGGTATCTCAGGCTTAGCAAGTCTCAAACCTGATTTCTACCCTAGACAGGCCTGCTTTTCTATAGTTTTCCCCATCTTAGTAAATGGGAACTCCATACTTTTAGTTATTCACAGTCAAAATCTTGGAGTTATCCTTGATTTCCATCTCTCTCTCACATCCTCCATTCCATATGTCACCATGTATATTTGGAAGAGTATTGCTAACAGACCACTCCCCAAATTATCATTTTCAGAAGATGAAATTAAAACTACGTGTAAAGGAAAATAGCAAATAGGAAGCGAAATCCAAATTCTTAATCTCTAATCTTAAATCCAATGTCATAACGTTTTAAACTGCATTGTTATTTTTTAAATGAATCTAGGAAATGTAACTTAGAATTAGTTAACCGTACATGTGTACATGTGCGCACGCGCACACACACACAGCTTCTGCTTTTCTACATATGCCAATTGTTAGTAAATAAAAAACTGAAACCAAGTAACCTTTGAACAGATTTTTATATTAAAGAAACCTGTGGCTACAGGAAAAGCTATTTAGATTCTGGGCACTTTACATAGATTTAGGCTGCTGCAACATTAATCTGACAAGGTATTCATCACAACCCATGTAACAATTTAAATTGCTTTTAATGTGCCAGCACTTACACATTTCTAGATAATATAGTGGGAATTCACTGGGGGACATCTGCCAAAGAAATTAAAGCCTTGACATGGTAAAATTGCTCCTAATAATGAAGATGTCTTGGGGAGGGAGGAGCAGGGGAGTGGAAGGGTATTCCTTGACTAAATGAGTGGGAAAAACTCAATTTTCATTCAAAAGCATATAAAATAATCAATTATAGGGAAAAAGGGAAAAACAAACCATTTCCACACTGCTTTAGAAAACAATAAAAATAGTTAAAAACCATGAATTAAGTGCTCCTTCTTTGATCTGGGGAGGAAATAGAAAATACACCTATCACATCTTCAGCCCTTTGCCCTTCAGGCTTATATAGAGGTTAAAATTTCAACATTAAAGGCTTTAAAGTGGTCACCTTCTCCCTCACAGTTCATTTCCCATAACAAATAATAAGCACAGAAAGCCATCCCCTTACCAGAGCCAGGCTGTGCTTTTTTTGTATTGCACCTCCTCAGGTCCTTCTTTTCCATGTTTTAACTGCAACTCCAGCTCTCCTATCCTCCCCTGCAAAAAGCACAGCATCAATCAGCATGCAAACTCTATGGCCAAAATTATCTTAAAATTTCTTTGGAAAACACTTAGGTAACAATCCTTTCCCAATTGGCCTTAGGTGTTCCTGATAAGATATCAGATTTTGACAGAGCATGTGTGAGGAGAGAGAATTACATCACTGCTCAGGGATTTCCACATTCACCAAATAAGTATATCCTGGAGAAGTTATATGTTTGGCATATTTAGTGCAGAGCACTTCATTTGGGGATATCTATTAAAAGCAGATTTGAAGTCCATAGGTCCTAATCAACAAATCCCCCATATTGTAAAAATCTGCCTGTGTCAGCAGCTGACAATTTCAACTGACATGATACCAAGATTGGGGTCTGGGTACCAATATTCTAACAGAATGGTAGAAATGAGTAGGAAGTATATAACACTTAAGATTTAGGTAATGTATAACAAAAGTTATTCTCAAACAGATGCACATTACATTTCTATTTCTTGACTAAACTTATAGATATAATTCTCAAGCTGTACCATGCAATAAAAATATAGCTAATATCATCAGCCCTTTAAGGGCAAAGCCTTCAAATATTTATTATCTGTTCTATTTTTTTATACTCAGGATTATTTTGACCAGATGCTTTCCCCTCTACTCCATCACCAATTACATTATTTAAATGTAATTGAAATTCTGGTTTATTGATATACCCTGAACTGAACAAGAACTCAGATTGCATATTGCATTACTGAGTAATACCAAACCATTTTCAGAAGGTGGTCGTGCGGCTCACATTCTCACTAGCGGTAAATAAGAGTTATGGCTGCTTCACATCCTCACCAGCATTTGAAATTAAAAGGCTTTTAAATTTTTACCATTTTGGGAGGTGTAAAATGGGGCCCATTGTGGTTTTAATTTTCATTTTACTGTTTACTGAGATTGAGCATCTTTCCAGATGTTTAATGACTATTTGGGTTTCCTATTCTGTCCATTTTTCTATTGGTTGCCTTTTTCTTATTGATTTTAGAGTTCTAAGGTGTGCTCTACAGAAGAAAAATTAAACTCTCTATATATTCTAGAGAGGGAAGCAATATAGCTTTAGGTTAAGGATGTGGGCTCTGGAATCAGTATGTCCTGACCTAATGTCATTTCCACTTACTTGCTGTGTAAGTTTGGGCAAGTTACTTCATCTCTCTAAGCTTCAATTTCCATTTGTAAAATATAGCAAACACCTAACTCATGGTATTAGAGCATCACATAAAATAATATGGAAAAGTGTCTATTTAGTGCAGTGACTGGTACCAAATAACTGCTACCATTACCAGGTTTGCTGTCAAAAACAAACTCTCCTTATTAACTTCTTATAATCTATTCTCTCATGAATATATCTAAATCCTTCTTGAAATAATTCATGTTTTTAATCTGTACACTCTCAAAGAGTAAAAGGTTCCCCAAAATGTAGTATCCAGACTATAAAGTTGCATGCCCTTGTATTTCTCTCATATACTCTCAGTTGCTAGCCTGTAAGCTCATTGAAGAGTACAACAAGGATGGTTTTATCCATCTAAGGAGTCCCTGTATTTTGCACAACCTCCAGCACACAGTGCCCTGGGGCTCACCAGTTCAGGCACTCTGAGATCTGATGGGCATTCTGTTCACATCCTTTATAGTTTCTATTTACTTCAATCATGTTCATCCCCATCTCCGTGTTTTCAGTGATAGAATCCTGACCCTTTCATTCTCCCTCTGTCTCTTGGAGCAAGGTATCAGAGGTGATCAAACTGGCAAGATACTGATATTAATACTTAATATTGATAGCAGCCTCCCAAGAGGGTAGGCAAAATAGAAAATCATGTTTATTGCCTTCTCTGTTTGTTATGCTTCTTAAATTATACCTCTTTCCTCCTAAAACATTTACTTTCCATAATGCTTTCCAAAAAAAGACAAATAAGAAATTAAGAGGTTAAAAATCTGTTCAGAAATAAGTAAAACACAAAAAGGCCAGTATATGTGCAGCCTCTTGAGAAGGCCTACTTTTCTGATCTCTCCTGTAGCCATAAACCAGTACAACTATTGTATAGTGACTAAGTAAATTTCTCATTTTTCTTTCTCAGAGTCTCGGTTCTTCTCAATCTCCTTTTCTGAAATGTCTCTAATTCCTTCTACCCAGCCCCTGTTAGGCTATTTATTCAGATCTACTTTGCATCCAATTCTTCACCTACTGATAACAGAGATCCAATGGCATTTAACTCAGTTACCTCTGCTTCTGGTTAACAGCTGTGGTTAAGGAGGGGGGTAGGGTGGGGACACTCACTGGGAGAGAAAAGGCTGAAATGATCACTTGAAATGAGATTTTTTTAAAATAAAGTTATTCATTTATCTTTGGCTGTGTTGGGTCTTCGTTGCATGGGCTTTCTCGAGTTGTGGCGAGCAGGGGCTACTCTTTGTCGCAGTGCGTGGGCTTCTCATTGCAGTGGCTTCTCTTGCTGCAGAGCAAGGGCTCTAGGCATGCAGGCTTCAGTAATTCAGCTCACAGGCTCTAGAGAGCAGGCTCAGTAGTTGTGGCACACGGGCTTAGTTGCCCCGCGGCATGCAGGATCTTCCTGGGCCAGGGCTCAAACCATGTCCCCTGCATTGGCAGGCGGATTCTTAACCACTGTGCCACCAGGGAAGTCCTGAACTGAGTTTTCTGGATTGCCTGTAGATTCCAATTATTATTATTTTTTTTAACATCTTTATTGGGGTATAATTGCTTTACAATGGTGTGTTAGTTTCTGCTTTATAACAGAGTGAATCAGTTATACATATACATATGTTTCCATATCTCTTCCCTCTTTGTCTCCCTCCCTCCCACCCTCCCTATCCCACCCCTCCAGGCAGCCACAAAGAACCGATCCGGTATCCCTGTG